ACTAACTGACATTGGTATTTCAAATCTGGTGCTGGTATTCTGGGATGGCTCCACCTTTTCATTCTGATTGGTTGGGAATCCCAGTATGTGTTTATTGGCTTGGCTTCGAGTGTATGGTCGGTTTTCCTCCACTAGGTGGCAGGGCTTCATCTTTGTGGCTGGTTTGAATATGATTTGGTTGGGATTTTTTTTGTGTAATGTTTGGTTTATGTTTTATATATGGTGTTAAGATTCGTCTATCTATGAGAGCAGGTTTCCAAATAGTAGGCAGACGTGAAGTGTCATCCCGTTTATTCATGCAATATAGTCTTTTTTCTATTTCTATTGCTTCTCTGATTATCCTGCCATTGAGATGTTCTATTTTTGCAACTGTTTTTGTTTTATTAAAATTAATGTTGTGTCCTGTTGTATTTATATGTTGAACTAATGATGATGTGTGTTCTTGCTTTTGTATTGAGTTTTTGTGTTCCTCGATGCGCACACTCATTCTTCTGTTGGTCTGTCCAATGTATGTTGATGGGCAGGAAGCACACGGGATTTCGTATATGCCTTGATCTTCTAATTCTATTTTGTCTTTGGGGTTTCTCAGAATGGACGATAACTTTCTATCTGTGCAAAATATGGTTTTGATGTTGTGTTTATGTAGTACTTTGCTAATTTTATCTGTTGTTCCCCTTATATAGAGCAAGATGGCTTTCCCATTGTTTTGTTCCTCTTGTTGTTTTTTATTCTGTCTTGGTGTTGTATGTTTGATCATATTGATGATTTTATTTCTACAGAACCCATTTGATGTCAGTACATTAGTTAGTGTATATAATTCTGTTTGTAAATGTGCTTCATCAGCCAAACATTTAGTTCTTGTGGCTAATGTTTTGGCAACAGAGTTTATTTGTGTTGGATGGTGGTGTGATTTGGCGTTGAAATAGCGGTTCGTATGTGTCTTCTTTTGATAGATGGTATGTCCTAAGGTGCCATCAGATTTTTTATAAATTAATACATCGAGGAAAGGTAACTGGTTTTCTGATTCTATCTCCATGGTGAACTTTATTTTGGGATGGAGGCTGTTCAAATATACTAAGAAGTTTTCCAATTTATCTCTTCCATGTGGCCAGATCACAAAGGTGTCATCAACGTATCTGAGCCATAATTTTGGTTTGTTAACAGTTTTTTCTAAGGCATTGGATTCGAATTCTTCCATGAAAAGATTAGCGATGACTGGTGATAATGGTGATCCCATTGGTGCACCTTCTACTTGTTTATATCTCTGTCCTCTGTGTATGAAATATGTGTTGGATAAACAATGTTCTGTTAAGTTTGTGATATGTTTTGGTAGTTGATATTTGTTTTTAATTGATGACAGGGCTTCTTTGACAGGTATTTGTGTGAATAGTGATACAACATCAAAGCTTACAAGAAGGTCACTTTCTTTTATGTGTTGCTTTTTTATTATTTGTATGAAATGGTATGAGTTCTGTACATATGAGGCAGCAGATTCTGCGTAAGGTTGAAGATGTTTTGCTAAATATCTGGCTAGATTTTGTAAAGGTGAGCCTATGGAACTTACTATGGGTCTGAGAGGTATTCCATCTTTGTGTATTTTTGGGAGGCCATACAGTTTTGGGCATTTTGATGATTTTTCTCTGGGGATAATTTTTTGTTGGATTTCTTTACTTATTCTGCCGAAACGTCGCTTCTACCCTTTTAGGGATATATCCACAATTACACGGGAAGAAACCCGAAATATTAACTATACACACATACATACCCGTGAAAACTTACATAAACAAATATCAAACCTCTACGGGGAGGAGATGTATAAACTTACCAGAACTTATGAGAAGTTAGAGATAAAAAGATCTCGAATACTGTGTGATTTAACATTTTTATGTCAATGTCGTGACCAAAATATAATACCATCTTGCTTTAAATTGAAATTCCATACCCACACAACATCTATCCAATGTATTCTTAAAAGAACTGAAATGGCATTACTTAGAAATGAAATCCATAGCAAAAGATTCCTATTAGATCAAGTAAACAAGGATCTATTAGCTTCATACTTAAAGATAAGCAATATTATTCACCCCATATTATGGGACAAAATAAAACAGCTTGCCACCTGGAGATCTGAAATAGAAACCACTCATAAAACTTACAGACATTCAAAGAAACTTAAGAAATTAGAACATAAAAAACCTCCAACCACAACACAACATCATTTAAAACAAGTAGTATACAATGCTTCCGATAGAAAATTAACAACAGCAGAAACAAATGTCTTAGCAAAGGGCTTTAATTTTGCAGTGGCACCCAATAAAATTCCAATAGAAACCATCATATGCGAAGTTGAAACCAGCCTAAAGAAACTCAGTGCTGACGATGCTGATAAAGTCAGACATGACGTCACCAACATTCTATGTACTAGTAAACCACCTAAAAGCAATTTATCAAAAGAAGAACAAAAAGCACTGCAAGTTTTAAAAAACGATAATAGCATAATGATATGAAACCAAAATTATGGCTCAGATACGTTGATGACACCTTTGTGATCTGGCCACATGGAAGAGATAAATTGGAAAACTTCTTAGTATATTTGAACAGCCTCCATCCCAAAATAAAGTTCACCATGGAGATAGAATCAGAAAACCAGTTACCTTTCCTCGATGTATTAATTTATAAAAAATCTGATGGCACCTTAGGACATACCATCTATCAAAAGAAGACACATACGAACTGCTATCTCAACGCCAAATCACACCACCATCCAGCACAAATAAACTCTGTTGCCAAAACATTAACCACAAGAACTAAATGTTTGGCTGATGAAGCACATTTACAAACAGAATTATATACACTAACTAATGTACTGACATCAAATGGGTTCTGTAGAAATAAAGTCATCAATATGATCAAACATACAACACCAAGACAGAATAAAAAACAACAAGAGGAACAAAACAATGGGAAAGCCATCTTGCCCTATATAAGGGGAACAACAGATAAAATTAGCAAAGTACTACATAAACACAACATCAAAACCATATTTTGCACAGATAGAAAGATATCGTCCATTCTGAGAAACCCCAAAGACAAAATAGAATTAGAAGATCAAGGCATATACGAAATCCCGTGTGCTTCCTGCCCATCAACATACATTGGACAGACCAACAGAAGAATGAGTGTGCGCATCGAGGAACACAAAAACTCAATACAAAAGCAAGAACACACATCATCATTAGTTCAACATATAAATACAACAGGACACAACATTAATTTTAATAAAACAAAAACAGTTGCAAAAATAGAACATCTCAATGGCAGGATAATCAGAGAAGCAATAGAAATAGAAAAAAGACTATATTGCATGAATAAATGGGATGACACTTCACGTCTGCCTACTATTTGGAAACCTGCTCTCATAGATAGACGAATCTTAACACCATATATAAAACATAAACCAAACATTACACAAAAAAATCCCAACCAAATCATATTCAAACCAGCCACAAAGATGAAGCCCTGCCACCTAGTGGAGGAAAACCGACCATACACCTGAAGCCAAGCCAATAAACACATACTGGGACTCCCAACCAATCAGAATGAAAAGGTGGAGCCATCCCAGAATACCAGCACCAGATTTGAAATACCAACGTCAGTTAGTGCAAAATGACTGCTGACATAAGCCTGATGATGGCAGATGGGATTCTGCCGAAACGTCGCTTCTACCCTTTTAGGGATATATCCACAATTACACGGGAAGAAACCCAAAATATTAACTACACACACACACACACACACACACACACACACACACACACATATGTGTCCTGAAGATGCGAGTTCCAGGTATAGTTATAGAAGAAGCGATAGACATCACAATCTCCGAACGTTTAAAAGTTTAAAAATTTTATTTTAAAACTTGTGCTAAGCTTTTGTCGGCCCCTACCAACTTTGTGAGAGTATAAAATCACCATTGAAGAGCTGCTTGCTTTTATGCAATGCTGATCAATTTGGTCATTGCGCGTGTAACAGGCCCACACCTGGAAGGCATTTCATAAAAGCCTACGAAAAAGAAAGAAAAAGAAACATTGTACCTCTACAGGGAGGATACCTGAGAAGAGGGTGTGGCTCACTGATGACGCCTTAAAAGGCAGAAATAGCTATCTGAGACTCCCAAAGGGCAGCAGAGTTTGCTGTCTGTTAGCAAGAAACAAAAAGCCCAGAAACTTGTGAATGAGATTTCACAGAACCAGGGCTGCATAACATCATAGCTTACATAGGTAAAACCTGGCTAGAAAGAATATGCATATATACATACATACATACATACATACATACATACATACACACACACACACACACACACACACACACACACACATACAGACACACATATATAATATAACATATATAATATATATTATATGTATATAATATACATATTGTATAAATATGTGGCCAGAATTTGAAAACAACATTTAATACAGCACAATTTCTGATTAAAATGGTCCGACTGAGATCAACATATGCAGGCCTGATTGGGGTAGATTGCAGAAATATAATTTTATGTCATTTTATTCTGTTTTACATATTTATGTATTAAATTATTGTATTTTATTCTATAATTATTGTATCTTATTTTAAATTGTTTATATAGGATTGTATTGGTAATAGGTGTTTGAACTTCATACGTTGACGTGGCCTATAGGCTAATCAATAAATAATATCGTGTTTCCCTGAAAATAAGACCCTATCTTATATTTTTTTGAACCCTAAATAAGTGCCTGGCCTTATTGCCATGCGCTTAAAAGCCCGATTGGGCTTATTATCAGGGGATGTTTTATTTTGGGGGAAACAGGATAATAATGTCAGGGTTCCAAGTAATTTGGATTCTTCAAATTCACATAATTTGAATTCTTAATTAGAACATTGTTGGATTTGATTTCATATAAATGTTGCGGTCAGGATAGCTAAAATTGTGTTTTTTTTTTCTTTTGCAGGGACAAGTCTGGATTAATGGCTTTAATTTAGGACGCTACTGGCCATCCCTTGGCCCTCAGTTAACATTGTTTGTGCCTAGAGATATCCTTGTTTCATCTTCTCCAAATAATATTACCATTCTGGAGCTGGAGAAATCTCCTTGTGTCATCCAGAATTGTTTAGTGGAATTTGTGGATAAGCCCATCCTCAATAAAACTCTTGATTATGAAGGCAATTTTGAGAAGCTGTTCTCTAATGATTTGTGACTGAATCCTATGCACCGTATTTTTCAGAGTATAAGACACACCTTTTTACCCCCAAAAAGGGGGTGAAAATCTGGGTGCGTCTTATTCACCAAATGTAGCCCCATCCGCCCACCGGCCCCCACCCTTTGACATGTGCCTTGCAGCAGTTACCTCCTTGCAAGCAAACAGCAAGAAAAAACAGCTCCTTTCAGCTTTAGCATAGACTAATTAGCACAAGTTGATTGGATCCGCCTCCCGACTCTCAGCTGATTTGCTCTCAGCTGTTTTCTGCAAGGCTCTGCTACCTGCTGCAATGAGATAAATTGTTGGAGCAGATTTTTTTTCCCCTTGTGCTAATCAAGCTATGCTGAAACTGAAAGTAAAGTAGGCTGTTTGCTGCAACGAGGCAAAATTAAGCAGAGGCAGAGGGAGGTTTCTTTTTCTTCTTTTTCCTCACCAAAAAAGGTAGATGCAAACAAATTTAGGGCAAAAGAGGAGAGTTCAAGATTTTAAGACACAAAAGAAAAAAAGGAGAAAGAAAAAGGCAAAAATAAAAATGGGAAGGGAGAAAAAGAAATGAAAGAGAAAAATGTTATGCATATTTAGAATTGAAATATGAATAGTAATAAGAAATAAATGGGAAATCATGATTGTAAAAATGAAATTAATAATAATTGGAATATTTGTCCTTGTATTTTTGAAATCTAGACAATGATAAGTTTTTATTTTTTTATTTTTTTTAGAAATATGAATAAGTATAAACTGTAACAATTGAAATACCTTTAATGGTATATGGTGGTGAAAGTAAAAAGGATTAAATTATAGCTTGGATAACAGCTAGAACATTTTTAAATTTAATTAGGGAAATTGTAATGATTGAAATATTTTTAATTATATATTGTGATGAAAGTAGAAATGATTAAGTTGTGATTTGGAGGATTATATGGGCAAAACTATGTGGGTTATTGGGAGAGTTTAAGATGTGAAAATGAGTAACATAAGGGGAAAATTATTTGGTTTATTATTATTAGCAAATATAATTAATTGATTTGTATGAAATTGGATTGCATGGAAATAATTGGAATATTCATGTTCATATTGATTAATATACAAAAAAGATAGTTATATAACTAATTGATTTATATTAAAATGAATTTGTATTAAACAATTGTAATATTACACAATTAACCCACATTTGTTATGATAATTACATAATCAATGTGAGGATGGATATAAAACTAGAAGGGGAAGGGGTATAATATAGAATAGAAGGGAAAAATTGAATTTGATTAAGATTAGAGATGAGGATGAAGGGTAATATTGGTTTTTAAAAAAAAAAATAGATGAGGAATAAATATGGCAAAAAGGAAATATAGAAATTGTAAATTTAATTGAAATGACTAAACACTGTTTAAATTTGTGAACCGGCCAAATACTCTGTCCAAAGGAAATACATTGAATGTTTGTATGTGTGTTTGTCTAAAAAATAAAAAAAATCTTTTTTAAAAAAAACCCAAAAAGTTAGGTGCGTCTTATATTCTGAAAAATACTACTTGTAATTCTACTTGATTTACTGATTGTTGAACCCGTCAAAATATTCAGATTCAAATGCTTGGATAGTGGTGAGAAGTCTTACAGTTCTAAGTGGTTCTTAACATGAAAATGAAGACATATCTTCTATGCTTCTAAAATAGTCGTTTGACATTGATGAAGTCTCAATTCTGTTTAATTGATTTTACCATATATTAAATCAAAGTGATAATTACTTAAAAGTGTCTGGGTGTTATTTTAACACCCAAATTTAACTGGATATTCTTAGATGTATCATGTATCTGTTTTCCTTGAACAATTGTAGCTTTTCAGAATAAATGTGTTTGGTTCTGGAATATGTTAGTGTTTTTATATATCTGTCTGCGCTAAAATTGATGAAATTATTAATACTGCATCCATCATGGTTCCCCTTCATCATAAATATCTGAAAATAAATGCAGAATTGCCAAAATTATAATGCACAACCAAGTTAGTATAAAGTCCTTAATCACAAAAATTGTTGGCTATTTTAAATTATTTTTATTATACATTTAAAGTATACTTAAGTTTAATTGTATCATAGAAGGTGAAATTACCTAGCTAATCATCATCACAAGACCAGCCATTCTGGAGAATTCTCCCAATGGTTTACATGCTCAGGATGATTTACATTGCAGATTTTTGAATTGTCAGAAGCAGAAGTGATTCATGATGTTCTAGACATGGCTACAGCCCTGAAATTAGCCGTGGCAAAATAATTTTTATATATGGGTCAGTCAGTCATTAGGAATCAAACTTACGTTGACAAAAGTCTATTGCATATGCATAAGTCCCTGATTTCTATTGGTGCCCCTAATTCAGGGGTGAAATGCTCCTGGTTCGGACCGGCTTGGGCGAGTAGGTAGGGATGGCAGCAGGCAGTTCGGATAACCGGTAGCAAAAATCCCTTCTCCCCCAGCCTCCAGCTTATTTACCTTTGCTCTTTGGACTGAATCCTGAACCGCTGGTTGCAAAGCCTGCCTTGCTTTGCTTGCTGTAATCCCTGCAATCCATTGCATCAGCAAGCAACTGAATCTCCCTGCCTGCAATCAAGCTCATTGGTGAGCAACTCTATCTGCCTGCCTGCCTGCCTGCCTTATCCCTTCAATTGGGTAAGTTTTTTTCCCCTTTGGGAACTTTAAAAATAATAGTTAATTGGGGTTTTTTTTAGTTGTTCTGTTTTTAGACCTAGCCATTTAAAGTTTAGGAAGTTTTAAATTTAGCTGCTTTTATATAAAAATAAAAATAAAATAAAATAATATTTGTGCAGCTTTCTGAGATTTAGTGTGTTTCTGTAGTGTTTCACTCTAACTACACAAACACACAAAATCTCACAAAGCTGTATGTGGAATTTTGTGTGTGTAAAGTGTGAAAGTTGGTTTTTTGGACTTTTTGTGGCTGTGTGAGGTACCTGCTTGTTGCAGGAGCCATTTTGGGTCTAGCATAGCTGCTTTTACATTTTGGGTGAGCCAATTGTGTTGTGTTGTGTTGTGTGTGTGTAAAGTGTGAAAGTTGGTTTTTTGGGTTTTTTGTGGCTGTGTGAGGTTCCTGCTTGTTGCAGGGGCCATTTGGGGTCGAGCACAGCTGCTTTTATATTGTGGGTGAACCAGTTGTGTTGTGTTGTGTTCTGTAGGTTAAAAAAGGGCAAAGAAGTGAGGTCGACTTGGCCACGCCCACCTGACCACCAAGCCACGCCCACTAATTAAGCCACAACCACAGAACCGGTAGCGAAATTTTTTAGATTTCACCCCTGCCCTAATTCTATGTACAAAAGTAACTTTGTTAAGGAAGCTCTTCTACCCTTGTATGAATGTTAATTATTTGTGGATGAAATGTGGAAAATGTTTAATTTACCTCCAAAAGCTGATTTTACATACCCTGCTATATTATTTGATTGTTCCACTGTTCTTTGATTCTCATACTGTTTTTCACAGTAACCACAAAGGATTTTGTTTTAATCTGATAGTCAAAAATGAATAGGATTTGTAGCTTTCCATTAAATGCTTACTGCTCCCACTGTGTCATTTCTCAATATTCCCTCTTGTCCTCCATTAAAATAAATAAAACAGTTACTTGCAAAAAAAATCCCTTCTGTTAATCTTTCTGTGTACTTTAAAGTCAGTTTTGTTCCTTTCTTTCCTATACATTTACCTCAAATTATTATACTTTTATTTCTGGATACACCATTTGGGAACTTTATTTCTTTCATCACAATTTCACAATATCAATGCAGGCTTACAGTTCCTGGAAACTACCAAGACATTTGGTCATAACAAGCAAGTTTTTCCTTCATGGAAACAAAAGTACATGCTTCCTTCAACAAAAGTACATGCTCTCTCCAATGCTTGCCATAACAAATATAGAAGATGAGGTGAGTCTTCAAACATGATTTACATTGAGGTGTTCTCATCTGATGCACCAGGAATCTTGTCTAAAATGTGTAAAGTTTTACATTTAGGCAGGAAAAATCAAAGGTACAGATTAGGAGAGACCTGGCTCAAAAACAGTAACTGAGAGGGACCTTGGAGTCCTAGTGAATGATCACTTGAATATGAGCCAGCAGCCAAAAAGACTAATACAGTAATCCCCGGGTTATGAGTGTTTCCTTAGCAAATGTTCAAAATTACATGATAAGCGCCACCTAGCATTTACGTATAAGGCATAGAATCACTTGAATTATTAGTACCACTTTATAAAACCCTAGTACAGGTGTCAGCAACCTGTGGCTCCAGAGCTGCATGCGGCTCTTTGGGCTCTGCTGTGGCTCCCTGTCGGGTGATCCCCACCCTTGCCCTCCCCTCCCAGTCACTCCTCACCTGGCCTGAGAAGGTAAAGGCTACGGTGGGGGATGGAGAAGCGGCCGGGGCTAATTCTCCATTGCCTCATCTTTTGCTGATACTTCTTCTGGCCCTTGTTGGTGCTGGGCATGCCTCAGATACTTGGGGATATGCGCAAACTTCTCTCTGCCATGAGATACTGGCCTGACCTGGCCGCGGCCAATGCCAACCTTGCTAACACAAGGAATGGGATCCGGGAGGAGAGGACAACAGAAAGGGGAACAGGGTCGCAGCGCCCAGCTGCCACTTTAAAACTTGTATGGGGGACTTTTGCCACCTGGAGGATGCTTTTCAATCAAAGCCGCTGGCAGCACCGCTCTGCTGGAGGAGTAAAGAAGCTCAGGGCAGCGGGAAAAGGGGACTAGCCCCGCTGAACCTCACACGCTCGCCCCAGGGGCCAGGCTCAGAGAAAACCGGAGCACCCTCACCAAAGACGCTCACCCGTAACATGGTCAACCCATCTGCCCCATGTGCCTTTGCTGCATTTTGGCCAATCCTGGCCGCTCACTTGAGGAGGGTCTCCCCACTCGTGTGCCCTCCTAGCCCCACCACAGCTGACCAGGGGGTCGCAAGAGGAGGAGGAGGGTTGTCTTCGGGGAAGGCTCCGTCGTGGCTTGCGCCTCGTTCCTAAACCAGCCCGGATTTCCAAAAAGTTGCCAAGAAGAAAGAAAAGGAGTAGCGAAAAGCCCCAAGGAGAGCTCGGCGGGTTGGCCCCGCCTTGGCTTTCCAAGAGAGAGAGAAAAGAGAGAGAGAGAGAGAGAGAGAAAGAGAGATAAACACACAGAGACAGACATAGAGAGACACACAGAAATACAGAGAGAGTTTCTTGCAAAAATCAAATCCAGAAGCACACACAGATAACTGATTGAGCTGATTCATTAACTTCTTTATATACATAATAATACATGAAGATAAATGCGCCATACCAATATAGAAGATTCTTCCAATGTAGCAGTTACAAGCTAAACACAAGGCAGGAGAGAACAGTTAGTTTAATTTCAGAGAGCAGACAGCATGCACAGGGTTGTTTCATTTCAGAAACACAGAGCTTAATACAAAGACAGCCTCCTCTATACAGGGCAGTTAAGCTTTTGCACAGACTCAGTTGCCTAAGCCATGTCCTAGCTCCAGTCTGTCTCAGCTCTCAATTGGCTGATTTAGTTGCTATGCCTATTCATTGGTTGATCTATTCCAGTTTATGAATATTCATACACTGACACTCCTCCCTTCATAACTGGAATAAAAACAAAATCAAATTATCTTAATATTCTTCAGATACCTGTATTTGAAGACCCACATTCACAGTTCCCTTCAAATACCTGAGAACTCTTTTACTGTGATACATCCTTTGCAATGAAACAAAGATCATCCACAAATGCTAATAGTTGACAATCCCCACCTTGTAATTTTTCAGTTTATATGCAATCATCAGCCTTGCAACTCTTGAACCCAAGACCCTTCAATGCAGTATCTAAACAGATATTCCAATTCCTGGCTGACTGCTTCAGCCCATAAATGGCCTTGTTCAATTTATACATTGTGTTAGGCTTTTTACTTTCATACCCTGGTGCTTGAACCATGAAAATTTTTTCCTCCAATTCTGCATTGAGGAATGCAGTGGTTTATGTCAAAATGCCAAATTTTATGGCCGTGTGCCACTGCCAACACTAGTGTGAATCTTAAGCTTTCACTCTTTACAGTTGGTGCAAATACCTCATCATAATGCATGTTTTTCATCTGTGAAAAACCTTGTGCCACTAACCTTGCTTTATACTGGACCTCATTATTGGGCAGTACTTTCTTCTTGTATACAAGACAAGAGCCTTGGTGGCGCAGCGGACTAAAGTGCTGTTAAGTAGCACTTAGCTCCAGCTGTCTGCAATTACTGCAAGTTCAAATCTCACCAGGCTCAAGGTTGATTCAGCCTTCCATCCTTCCAAGGTAGGTAAAATGAAGACCCGGATTGTGGGGGCAATAAGTTGACTTTGTATAAAAAGAACACCACTTGGGGGGGGGCCGAAAGCCCTACTAAGCAGGTATATACAAAAGTATGAAGGCTATTGCTTAATGCATTGTAAATGCATATAAATTAATGCATATAAATCGAACCAATAAATAAATAAATAAATAAATAAATAAATAAATAAATAAATAAATAAATAAATAAATAAATAAATACCTACCTACCTACCTACCTACTTGCATCCTACAGCTTTACTATCCTGTGGCAATGCCATAGATGTGAACAAGTTATGTTCACCGATGGATTTCATTTCCTTGTCCATGACTTTCCATTTTATTTGTTCAATTCTAGCTAATGCCAACACTTCCTTATAGTGCCTTGGCTCATACCACCCATGCCACACATTACACACTTACACACTTTATTTTACTAGCAAAATCCCCTTGTTCCATCCCCTTATTCCATCGCTCCATCGCTCTGACCTGCATGGCATTGACTGCTCCTGAAGCAACCCTCT